AAATGCAGAAACAAAACGTTCCCCTTTCATCATAATATTCACAGAGAGATTTGCCACCCAAAAAGGAAAGAACAAATCCAAACAAAAACAAGACAGAGAGATATATATATGCAGATAGATATAGATAAATAGCCCCTGTTTGCCTCCCTCTGTTCATACAGTGTTTAGTCAAATTGAAGGATTTTTTTTTTGTTTTGCAAAAACAAAAAACAAAAAACAGAATACCCTCTACCCTCGATGCAACACCCAATACCCAGTGGAACCCTATAAAAAGCTTTGAAAATATACCCACTTCACACACAAACATTTTTCTACACGCTGCAATGGTAGCAGCGACCTCATTCATTACATCCCTAAACAACAACTTGGTCTGGGAATTGGTGCGGATACGAGACCTGCGAGCTGTGATCAAAGTTTTCCTTGATGGTGCGTGCCGACACCCATCGAGTCAAAAAGAGAGGACTGCCGGGCTTGTCGTTTGAACCACTCGCACGCGCACCACCAAAAGGCTGCTGGCCCACGACCGCCCCGGTGCACTTGTCGTTGATGTAGTAATTGCCCGCAGCGTAGCGGAGATGCTTTTGCGTCGCATCACGGATCGCCTGCCGGTCCTGGGCAAAAATGCTGCCAGTGAGTCCATACTTTGTGGTGCGGTTAACGACCTCACACACCTCAGCCCAGAACCCTGGTTTGCTGTCATCATACACGTAGACTGTCAAGATGGGTCCAAAGATCTCTTCTCGCATCAGCTGCGACTGACTGTCCTTTGACTCAATGATTGTCGGCTGCACAAACCAACCCTCTGCCCTATCGCATGCACCACCAGCAATAATAGAATACGTGGATGCATCCGCGGCGGCAATGTCGATATATTTTTTATTGCGTTCAAAGGCAGCTTCATCAATAACTGCACACATGAAGCTCTTAAAATCATCTGGCTGACCCATCTTGAGCTGTTGGTGGGCGGCAAGCAGATACCTCTTCAGCTCACCCCATTTACTTTTTGGGGCATACAGACGAGAGGTGGCGCTGCATTTCTGACCCTGGTACTCAAACGCGCCACGTATCGTCACAGCGGCCGCAAGCTTCAAATCGGCACTTGGATGAATCAGATGGAAGTCTTTTCCGCCCGACTCGCCACTGATGCGCGGGATATTGCGGTACTCTTCCAAGTTGGCGTATATTTGCTTGTTAATCTCCATGTACACCTTTGTGGAACCGGTGAAGGCGACGCCGGCCAGGTCTTGATGGGCGTTAACTACCTTACTCATGACGTCTGGCTGGCATGGCAGGAAGTTTACCACCCCCGCGGGCAGACCCGCCTCCTCAAAGACCTTAAACAGCAAATAATTGGAAAACACCGCGTTCGGCGATGGCTTCCACAGCACAACGTTACCCATCAACGCAGGGCAGGCAACAAGGTTCACGGCGATGGCAGAAAAGTTAAATGGTGCGATGGATGAGACAAAGCCCTCAAGAGGGCGGTAGTCAAGTGAGTTCCAAATGGCACCACTGCTTGGGGAGAGCGGCTGATCGCGGTACAAATCCTCTGCATACTTCACTGAGAAACGTAGAAAGTCACACGCCTCGGCGATCACGTCGATCTCTGCCTGAAAAGGATTCTTGCTCTGTCCCAGCATTGTCGCTGCTCGCAGTTCATGGCGATACTTAGTCGAAATAAGGTGGGCCGCATGAAGGAAGATGGCGGCCCGCTCTCTGAAGGGTGTTTGGCTCCACTCACGTGACGCCTCCAGTGCGGTGTTAATGGCCTTCTGCGCCAACTCTGGTGTAGCATTGTATGACACTGCAAGTTGTTGCTCGTGGCTAGACGGAATCATGCGACGAATAACGCTTTCTGTGTGGTATTTTTTCCCACCAATCACAATCGGGCAGTCCGCGACGCTGTGGCGCAGACGCATGCAGGCCTCCAGGGTGCCCTTTGCGGAAGGACTTCCCGGCTCAAATGCGTCCATCGGCTCATTCACGATGGGTGGGCACTTCACATACGCGAAAGCCAATGACACCGTGCGACGTAGCATGATGGTTTTATTTGCTTGATTAGCGGAAACTCCCGATGTAGTTGTTGCTGCTTTACTTTATTACTCTCTTATCGTAAAGAAAGTAAAAAAAAAAAAGCGAGCAGGAAGGAGATTTAAAATACATACATATATTGCGAAGGGACCAGCTTCATCCATACACCATATATATATATACATATGGGTTGGGGGAGCACGTTTATGTCGTTATTGATGTTAGCCACTCAACCTTCTTCTTCTCGGGCCGTTGGATCTTTTCTTCTTCTTTCCTGGCCGTTACCCCTATTGGTTCCCTAGAGAGCGAGAGAGATCCACGGGCCCGAGCGTTAAAGAACTCCCATATATATTTACGGCATCATCATCTGCTTAGCAATGATAGAGCAGCAAAGGCAGAAGCAAGGCTGGAAGGGTCTGTGTGTGTGTGTGTGTGTGTGTGTGTGTA